ATATATTACCGGAAGAAGAATTACCGGAAAATATTGAAATGGAAGAAATGCTAATTGATGAGCCACATTGGCAGCCAGGCGAAGGTTTTGCAGTACGAGCAGCGCTCATTGAAAGATTATTTAGATAACTTTTATTATATTATCATATTTTATTATTCAATATTATATATTATATAATATATATACATATATTATATAATATATATATATATTTTATACATATACTATATTTTTTTATAATAAACTATATTAACATATATGCACTCTTTATATATGACTCTGTATACAATGTACTCTTTTTAACTTGCAACAAATAAAATAATAATTTAAACACATTAAACAACATTAAACTTTATAAGTACAAAACAAACTTAAAGATATTTTATGCTTTGAGTTTAGTTCAGTCATATTCTCTCGTAAACACATATTTTTTATGCTTTGGGTTTAGTCATTCTCTTATAAACGCATGTATTTTTCTTTTTCTTTTTTAAGTTCTAATTCAGCTAGTTCGGCTTTCGCAGTAGCTGTTCGAATTTCTAAAGCATATAATTCAGTATGAAAAGTTTCTTTCATTATGATCATTCTGTTTTCATGAGCTTTTCGTAAGTCTGCCATTTCTCTTTCATCTTCCATTATCTTTTTTATTCTTTCAATTTTTACAGCATTTTCGTCGTTATCAAGAGTTTNTAACGCATTTTTCTGTATTTTTGTTGGTTTTCTAGTTTGCACATTAATGTTATCCGAACCCTTTCTTTTCACAGAATTCACTGTAAACACAATAGTATTTAATTATTTAATTAATATAAGAAAATATTGTTTAATATTAATTTCGTTACCTTTATTTAAAAAGTCATATTTTTCATTTTCTTTGTCTAATGTTTCTTCGGTTATTGTATCTGAAAATTGATCAAAATTAATAACTATCTCATTCTGTCGTAAAGAAAAATAAATATTTCCTATTCTATCTTATAGTGAATTCGGTTACTTGTACACTGCACTGGTGCATATTAAACAGGTGTTTTATATATTTTTGTGCACGACATACTAAATTTTTTTATTTTCATTTATTTCAATCCTACATACCTTCTTGTATTTCAATTATTTCGTCATTTACTTTGTCATTATTATTTTTATATAATATATTTTTATATAATATAGTGCCTGTATCATCTTGTAGAATATTAAAAATATCTTTACTTTTTTCTGAAACATAAAACATGAATCTATAATAAATACATTAAAATTTATACAATTTTATTTATCAAATACTGTTTCTGATTACATAAATTACATTAATCAAATAATGAAAAATTTGTAAGTATGCCTTTTTTATATCTATTTTCTTATTTTTATTAAAATATTTTCAAAACTATATACCATCAATTTCGTTTTCTGTCATATTTGATGTAAAAATAACAGGTGCCGTTGTCATAAGATGTGGTGCTATTGTGGCTACATCAGGATCTAAATTTATGTCTGGAGGTGGTGGACCACCACCAGTTGCCAAACGAGCCTGTTTTTCTTTTGTTAATAAATCTCTTTGAGTCTGTTTGAGATTTGTCCACAACTTTTTTAATTGTTGAAGTGTACGCTAAAAAAGGAAACACATTAATATCTTTACTAGATAAATATACAATTCAAATTCTAACCTCTTTTTACTATTTACCTCTTGTGAAATCATTGAAGATTCGTTATATCGTTTGCAAATTTCGTTCCACGCAATTTCTTTATCATGAAGAGTTGAAGTATCACTTTTCTTTAGTTCAATGATATGTTTAAAATCATTTAATATTTCTAAGAAAACTTTTCTTTCCAATACTGTATAATGCTTGTTCTTAGACATTTTCGAAATGTTAATGTTACAATATTTAATATATTGTACAAATAAATACAAATAGTTCTTTACGCCGAATAAAATTTTTCAAACAAGTTATTTTCAATCACTTCAACAAATCATTAATTGCACTTTTTATATAGACCTTGTTTATGCGGGCAATAACCGTTAACTTATGCCGGAACCAATAAAGTTCAACTATAGGATTTCAATACTTCTGTTTATACGCATTCGGCAATTTTGTATAAACAGAAGCAGTGAAATCCTATGATCAAACTCTACCGGTTCCAGCATAAGTTAACAGTTATTGCCCGCATAAACCAGGCCATAGATATTCGTCTGTATTCTTTTGTGATTATGCTAGTGATTTATTGGATTCAAAAGAAAGAATTACTTTCATTGGTTGATCTAATAGAAATAATACGAAAATAGCCGAATGCTTAATAAGTATCATCTTGAGCACATCTTCGCGAAGACGGTCTCAAATAGAATAAGAATCCCTTAAATAAGAACTTCTTTACCAAGGTTATCTTAATTCGTGTTTATGAATTATATCCATCTTAAGACAATCTTTATTAAATAAGAAGATCTTGACCAAGATGACCTTAAGTATCACCTTAAGCTTCGACTATGAATACGGGCCTTAATCCTCGATAGAATCTTTTCAATTTGGGAGCAAT